ATATATATATTTATATATCTTTTTTTTAATTTGCATAAATAATGCTGTGATTGTAATTTTAAATGACATTTTATTATCTGTAAATTTGTGATCATCTTTTTTAAGATTATATAAAATAATAACTGCACTATGTTATGTTACTAATACTATAGAGTACTACACAGTGTAACATCACGATACAATGTGATACTATTCCGTTGCTATCGTTGCAAAAAGCGTCCAACCGGACACGATTTTATTCACTGACACACCATTGATCCCAATTTCTAACGTAATTATTAAAATGTTTTATCTTACTTCTTTGTAAATTTTAATTGACAATTAAATGTGTGTTCGATAACTAATATAATGTGAGCTTTCGTGTTTTAAGTACATTTTGATGGTATAATATTAGATTTTAAAATACCTATTCCAGAAAGCCTATGAAGTCATTCAGGCGTAATGAATGGTAGCCAACGTCTGTTGACAACAGAGAGCGCCACCTGGCGTCGTGACGACACGACTGTGGTACTCTATAACAACAACAATAATAATACAGTAATGCCATGGATACCTCCATGGTAATACAACACTGTACACTAATAGGATATACCAACCTCTGCAACATTTTCTAGTTTTCCCTGAGAGTACATCTTGCATCCTCGTTTGGATAACAAACAAACCCCATCTACCAGGCCAGTGTGAAGTAGATTCTCTGAAATGAATACATTATTATATTAATTAATATAACACTAATTAAAATAATTTATTAAAAGATAGGGGCCTTTGGGTTTACGGTTGTTTTGGCCCAGAGCCAATTCGGTTCGGCCCTGGACGGTTCGGCCCTGGACAGTTCGGCCCTGAACAGTTCGGCCTTGGTCTTTTCGGCCCAGGTCATTGCGGTCCTGCATTGTTTTCAGCCTTTGTAATATGTACAGCACAGCTAAATATTTTGACAACTTTTGAACATTTGGTTATTTTTTTCCCTACAGTATCATCGATACATTTTTGTCAATGAGATCTATGTCAAAGAATAATTTAATACTTTTCCGTATCACTTATTGTTTATATTTTTATGAGATAAAAGAGATCTTTCTACAAATTGGCTGAGGCCTATATTAAAATGTTTCTATATTGAATTGAAATAGTCTTGTCGTGTCTTTTTTCCTATAAAATAAGAAGATATCTTACATACTGCATTTCAATTACTTGTTCAACAAGTAAATGTTCTAAATATGATTAACAAGTTTTCCTTGAAACATGAGCTTTTGTATAGGATTTTACTGTATAGAAATTAATCCATGTTGCTTGGTTGGACCTCTTGACCAGTCTTTTCAACCTCATGGGTTACTTGGCCCAAAAAGACCTGAGTCAAATCAACTCTGATTCATTGTAGCCTATATTATTCTTTCTTTCGGGAACAGGTCAAAACGGCAAAAAACAAAAAAATTCTAGCCTACAGCCTAGCTGAGTTTGGCCGTGCCCTTCCCTCCTATCCTGGGCTAGAACCAAGGATTCTTTTTGGATAGGACCATTTTTTTGGTTTAGCCTAGGGCCTAGCCAGGCCTATCTACGCGGGCCGTGCCCGTGGCAAAGGGGCGTAGCGTAGGCCTAGGGGCCGGCTACAGACCTTCTCAATATTTCGCTAATTAAATCAAGATTACCAATCTAAAATATTGTCAAAAAACCCGGTAATGTTTTTCAATACCTGTGAGAAATGATTCCCAAGAACTACATGCTTTTTGAGTCATTTAAATCAACAACTACACTAAGCCTATCTATCCTCAGGGGCTAGGCTAGGCCATAATCAAAAGTTTGGCCTGCTTGCTGACAGCGGGAATGAGCATTTTCAGATCGTTCCAGACCGCACTAATCAAAATAAGGCTGTCAACCAATATACCGCCCTCAAGAGGTTGCTAAGATAAATGTAATTTGTGTACCTGTGAACTGTGGCTAGCTGTTCGACGCTTTCACGTCATTTAGAATGGCAAAACAGGAGCTTATAAGCGTAAGTTTACGTATTTTATTAAATGTAACGTATTTTTCTGGTACATTGTTTACAAATTCAGCTTTTTGGAAGATGTCATTAATGTAACTAACGTTTATTGAATTTTTTTTTAGCCCCGACAGATGAGATAGCGACGGTTTTGTTCTGCGCCCTATCCATCACAACGTACCGCCTAAACAGTCCCTTAGTTCAATGATTTTTAATCTCAATCAAATATGTTTATTCTTTAGGCACCAAACCCAGTCAAGGGCCATTGGTACTGGAAGGACGAAACACAAACATTGGAATTTCAAGCAAAGTATGAAATCGGTATTGATAGTCTTTAGAGAAGAAGTAGGAAGCATATGGGTTTCGTGGTGTAGTGGTTATCACGTCTGCTTTACACGCAGAAGGTCCCCGGTTCGAACCCGGGCGGAACCTACTTTTTTTTTTTATATCTATATTTATTTGCATATTGTAAACCGGTGTAGGTAGTGCATTTTATTTTAATAATTTAGAAAAAAAAATTTTTTTTTTAGAAATATTTAACGATCAAAACAAATTTTATTGCTGATTTACAAACTTTCAAGATTTCATTTTGTCATACGTAGCATGATATTTGTTGTACTGGATGCAAGGATATGATAAATAGGTATATATTACAAAAAGCACTTTAAAATAGACCTGTTTTAAACCAAATTCTGTGTGACAGATTTATGTGATGTGCCCAAATATGAGCATGAACATGTCATATTACACCCAAATAATGGTGAATGGTTGTCACTCCAAAAAATATAAATCAATATAAAAAACTCATTACTTACGTTTATCAAATTTTATTTGGCAAACAAAATCTTTGTTTGTCAAATAAAATGGTATAGTGTGGACAGAGCATTGGTCCACTAGGAAGGAATAAATTTTTTTATATTGATTTATATTGTTAAAAAGAGTGACAGTTTCACCAGCAGTATTTTATGTGTTTATACACTTTAAGTTTTCTTTTTTTGTTTCCTAGCATAAGCCATAGTATCAATGAAAAGGACAGAAAAAGTCGAAGGTCAAAAAATATCACATTTGCTGATGCAGGGAAAAAAGACAGGTGAGGATATCATTTACAAATGTTGATTTTGAATAGATTTCCATTGCTTGTTGTTTCTTTCCTCCATGCATATACTGAGACAACTATACACAACTACAGTATTGTATGTTGTCTCAGGTATATAATAATAATAATAATAATAATAATAATAATAATAATAATAATAATAATAATAATAATAATAATAATAATAATAATAATAATAATAATAATAATAAGTTTGCCTTATATAGCATATTATGCCAAAGCCTCAATGCACTTAACAAATGAAGCTGAAAATACTGGAAGAAAAAATTTAATGCTCAACAGAAATTTCAAATACAATATTATATAGAGTAGAACCCCTATTAATTGCACACCTTAGGGACCCAAAAAAGTGTCCCTTTAGTAGGGGTGTCCCCTAAATAGGAGTTGGCTGTAGTGTTAAAAGGTATACTTCCCCTTGTTTCATAGCCAAAAAAGTTTCCCCTTAATAGAGGTGTCCCCGTAGTAGTGGTGTCCAAAGGAGGGGTTCTACTGTATATAAATTTTAACTTATTTTCATAATTCTTTCACAATAAAATTATTTTAATATTATTGCAAAGTGTGTATTTTGTTTGCATACTAGGGCTACACCAGTAAAAATTGAAAAAGGTCAGGGAGCAGGAGGCAGAGGTCATCGTGGACTGACAAATAAATCAAGCGTAAAGGGTGGAGCAAAAGAAACAACTGTCACGCTTGAAAGAATTAAAGGTTGGTTTGTTGTACAACTGATTTTTTAAGACACAAAAAACATATTTGGCGAAAACAAAACTCTGGAAGGGTTAATGAGATACAGATTTTTAAATAATTAAAAACTGGGGAAAAATGGGCGTAACCACCTTTTTTTCACCTTTTACCCCCATATTTTAAGTATTCAAAAATCTGTATCTCATTAACTGTTTTTCGTCAAATATGATTTTTGTGTCTTATAAAGATCAGTTGTACATCGTATCAAAAATTGTTTTTCCTCCGAAGCCTGACTTTAATTTAATCACTTGTTTAATTATATTTAGCAATACACTAATAATAATTATATATATATATATTGTATATATCATATATAATTCTATGGGATCATCAAAAATCCCATAAAATTCAAGTTAAAAGCGTGATGGCTTGTATAACTTTCTACGGACTTTGTTTTTTTTAGGCATATATGTAATTGGTTAAATATTTTTTTAATCTCTCATTATTGTTATTCATTATAAAATTGCTAATATTTTGTGTTTCTCTAGATGTTACACTTGCATGTTTGAATGAAGTTAATTTTTCAACTGAGCTTTTTGAAATGAGTTTATTAAGGTAAGGTTGACCTAATTAATTGATTTTGATTAAACTTTGATCAAAATATACCTGTCCATTTATTTTACCTGATGAACATGCTTTATTGCGTTTATACCCTATTTATTGATAAGGTTCATTCATCATTTTGAATTATTCAGGGCTTTTTTCATTCAATAATAGTTCAGAATAATATGTATTTGATTCTTATTATTGTCTGTAATGTTATTTTTATTTTAGTCTTGAACAGTTTGATGGCTTTTTACTGGGACTTCTTAACTACTTTGCATCATTCTTTGACAAGATTGCTCTTGAAAACAAACCAAAGCCAATGACAACGTAAGTACCACAATTTAATTTTACTTAGTCTGCATTTTATCTGGTAGAACAGGGGTGAGCATAAAAAACTTCAATGTTTACAGTGTGCTTCTAAAAACCTTCATACACTGCTTTTATAATACTTTATTCTCAGTTTTAATATTACATTTTACAGATGATCAGTGTCAGGCCATAAAAACAAGTGTTTTCTAGTCAGATATGTTTGGCAGGCCACACTCATAGGGTTTTATTATTCATTTTCACCAGCCACAAAAAAATTAATGACAAGTTGCACTTGCCCACTTGTGTGATAGAACCTTGAAAAATTCAATCAAAACTGAATTGCTTGTTTAAATAGATTAAATAAGTTATCAATTCACAATGAGATACAGATTGAAACACTTAAGTTTTTGCTGATATACTGACTTTTTATTACAAAAAAAGCTTAAATTGATTGCCAGCCAATTAAAGACTCTATTTAGGAATGATTTTTATGAGAAAAAATATATTCAATTGATAGCTATACTCATTTTGTTTCTTAAAAATAGGGAACCGAGTCAGAAGGAAAAGAAGGAAATGGCGAGCATTATTGGGAGGATGGAAGCCACGCAGAAATGCTTGGCACAAAGTTACTGTGTTCTTGTCTTGGGATTAGGACTACAAAACCACCATCACATGGCTTGTGGAGGGTAAGAAATTCAATAAGCCATTTTACATTCTTTCTTACTTAAATACTTCGTATTTGTACAGTATTATGCTAGGGCTTGATTAAAATTTTATGTTCTTGTGACTACTTGTTGTCAATCTGCTCTCCTTGTGAAGTTATAGTGCAAGGTATTTTGGAAGAAATGTTTAAGCCATTGGTCTTCTTTATACGAGATGGCCATGTGCATAATAATTAAAGCAGGCAGTGTGCTCTTCAGAAAGAATTGGGGGGGGGGCGGACAGGGGTGGGTGGTGTGTCTCTGAGCAATGTTTCTCCCATAGCTGTGGCTGCCATAGGTCCTAACAAGTCAGCCCAAAATTTATACAGTAGTCACCACTATTAGACACCTCTGTCCTGGGATGGCTGAGACTCAACTGGTGCTGGACAGGGTACATTTTGATAGATCCCTGCTCAGCGACGAGGGCGTGTCCCCATACTGCGGTTTGGGTGCTGGCTTGGATTTTCTTTTTTTTCTTTTTTTATTTTCCAGTTACATCTACTGACTTGTTCTGCACATAGAGAATCGTAGTTTGCGCAATATAATTGAATAACCTTTAACCTTTAACCAATTAATGGGATACTTTATTGGTGGTCTTTTAATTCTGTGGCCACACATCTATTAATGTTAATCATATTTCATCATCATTTATCACTTGTAGAAGTCGAGTTTCGTCAACGTACAGAGATAGACTGATGTATGAATCCTTGTATAAGTTCTGCGTATATGTTGTGTGGATAGCATTTAGAAGGAAAGACTATGATGTCATACACAAAGAGGTTGGGAGGTAAGATGTATAGTCGGTAAGATTATATCTGCCAGGCCTCACACTAAATTGGAATTTATGATGTAGTACGCACTGATTCATTTAATGCCATACTCCCATATTCAAATCTCATAAAAATAACAAATATATGTTTGTCTTCACAAGAGTTGATTGATTAATTGTTTTAATTGGTTTATTTATTAATTTATTGATTAATTGGTTGATTGATTAATTATAATAAATAGTTAATTCTAATGCATTATTTATGTTAATTTATTAATGAGTTATTTTATAGTGTAGTCTAATTTTCTGAATGATTGCCATTTTCTAACATTTCTTTCTAAATTTCGCTCTATTTAAATAATCTTCTTTTGCCAAAATTTTAACAGAATTCTAAGATCAGATGTCTTCAACCCAGCACTTCGTGTCAAGAATGCCCCACCAGAAGATGACCTCGCCGAGCAAGATAAAAAATTGCAAACAGAGATCGACTATGAAACATGGAAGAAGGATATACTAACCCCAGCTGAGCACAGAAAACTTAAACCGTAAGCAACTTTGTCAAGTATACATGGAAATCTCCAATAACACAAAATTGCTGTAATAATTTATTTTTCTTTTTTTTATTTTAGAAAACGGCCAGCCATCACTTCAATTATTAAGTAAGTACAAATATATAAGCATGTATAAAGGGTAAAAGTAGGAGAATAATGCATAACTTGCAGCATCATTGTTCTGAATTGCGTATGGTCCTGGTCCGTGACTACCTAGCAGCCGTAAAGAGGCGTTTATAGTAGCTACACGTTCGTATCATTCCACAAGGACGTGGGCTGAACCCCCTATTCTTCCGAAAGATGCAATGGGTTCTTTAAAGTGCACACGAGCCAGATGTATGCACTGGGCCTACATATTATGTCCTTATCAGAGAAGACTCGGTTCTACCAAGCAAGCCCTGGGCGAGGAGCCGCTGTAACCAGCGCCGATGTTAAGGCTGTAGCTAGCGGTGCCCCTGCTGTACCGCTCAGCCACTCGACTTGCATATAAGCATATAATTGTATATTAATTTGTGTTTGGTTACATGTTCTTATTGTCCTCAATTACATGAAGCATTATAGTTGAATATTAAATAACAACAAGGTGATTAAACTTTTGTTATCTCTTGTAACTTTTAGTCAAAGATCGCCGATGTTGGTGTCAGTGCTCCCAACTCCAAAAGAAGAATCCAGCTGGCTGTTTCAGAGTCACAGACCAAATACATCTGGGTAATATAATAATAATAATAATATATAGCAATTGCTTCAGTCAATTGTTAAATGCTCCTTTCAGTGGCCGATTCAGGGATGTGGCGAAAGGGGCACACGTCCCCCCTCCACCCTGGCAGCAACCAAAACTTAACAAAATAAAGTGACTAAGCTCTACTGTTACTATCTACTACTACTAATATAAAATATAATCATTATTATTATTTTTATACTATTTTGATTGTTATTTTATTGATATAAATTGTATAATGTAAAAAGAATGGATTGCAAATGCATTTAACATTAATGTTATTATTTTTACCATTTTATTATTATTAGGAATATGAACATACAAGATCATGGAGAGAAGATTGTTTTCGGTACAAGGCTCTCTAAAAGGTGGGTTTTAATCTTTAATATGTCTTACAAAAATAACCTTACGATTATATAATACTGTAATAATAATAGTTTTTGGTTGTAGATTAATATTTTTAGTGCCTAGCACAGGAAGTTGCAAACTGCTTTACCATCACTTTTGGTTGCTACAAACCTCAACATAATATGTGGTTTTGGTTTTGGTTTCCGTTCCATCTTTACACTTGCCTCATAGCGCTTAGAGACTTTTTGTATTTTGCGCTCTATAAAAGTGACTAAGCTCTACTGTTACTATCTACTACTACTAATATAAAATATAATCATTATTATTATTTTTATACTATTTTGATTGTTATTTTATTGATATAAATTGTATAATGTAAAAAGAATGGATTGCAAATGCATTTAACATTAATGTTATTATTTTTACCATTTTATTATTATTAGGAATATGAACATACAAGATCATGGAGAGAAGATTGTTTTCGGTACAAGGCTCTCTAAAAGGTGGGTTTTAATCTTTAATATGTCTTACAAAAATAACCTTACGATTATATAATACTGTAATAATAATAGTTTTTGGTTGTAGATTAATATTTTTAGTGCCTAGCACAGGAAGTTGCAAACTGCTTTACCATCACTTTTGGTTGCTACAAACCTTAACATAATATGTGTCCAAAATTTGATGTCATTTGTCTTTGATCGTTTTAACACTAAAGTATGTATTTAAAAAAAGAAATTTTTTATTTGCACCTTCTATTCCAGAGAGAAAGGCGTGGTAGGACTTCCTGTGTATTTATATTAATTATTATTATTATTATTATTATTATTATTATTATTATGTGTTTTGTGATTTTTGTAATTAATAGGGTTGGCATATTGGGTGAACATTTAAGTGGTTTTAATCCTAACACACTTGCGGCTGTAGGCTCAGAACATGATGAAGAACACGAAGAAACAGAATCAAGAAGAGAGTAAGACAAAGTTTGTTTTCACATCTAACAGCAAGTACATTCTAATTTCACTCTAAAAAGTTCTTTATTAATCCAATATTTTACTTATAAAATGTTTACTTTATTCTCAACAGGTCAATATTTGGAAGCTCGGGTTCAAAGAGTGGCACCCCAGCAAACCGAGGTAAATCATTATTTTGATTCCTTACACCATACATCAAGATAAATGGTCTTGGGTGTATGCAAGGGGGGAGTGGGGTGGAGAAGGTCGTACGACCCCCCCCCCCCCAATTTTCAAAGGTCCACATTTTTTCCAAAGGCATTTTTTTCTAGGGCTTTTTCACAATAACTTAAATGAAAAAGCATTGATGAGGTACCATCAATGAGTCCAAAGACCTTGCAAATTCCATGACGTAATATATCTCAATTCCAGCAATTCTGAAACTGAGCCTGCCATCCGCTTCAAGCTGGTGGCACTGTAATCGATTTTCCTGTCTCCCATTGAAAAGGTCCAAAAAATTATGATCACAACCCACCCAGAAAAAATCCTGGATACACCCCTGATGTAGTTATTAATAAAATCCAATACAATGCAGTGTCAGGCTTATATTCAATAGCAATAAATAATCTGAAACAGTAAGTTATAATAGACAAACAATTTGAAATTACATTTAATATCATCACTATTATATTATCATTATTACTATTGTAATTATTTGTTGTTATTTTTATTTTAGTTTTTGTTGTTGATAAAAAAAAAAATATTAGTAGAGTATTATAGTATAATAGTAATATTACAGTGGTGAATGTGTTTGTGTTCGCAGGTTTGAGTCGACAGCTAACTGAAGTATCCCATGCAGTGACTGATGTGTTCTCTGATGTTGATGAGGACTAGGAATCTATCTCCTATTATTCATACCATTATGTCCTAACTGTCAACTGTTCATTTGGGCATATTTGGCTGTCCATACAATACCGTCCATTAATAAAATTTATGCTCAGAATACTGCCCCAATAACAACATTCCAACAATTGTCCAAATACACTATTACTGTAATGCAAATTCCCTATGTTACCACCATTGAGGTGTTATAGTAATAATATTTCTATGCTTAGGCGAGATTTTTTTTAGTGAACCTGCCGAACGCAAGTATTAATGATTTTGAATAAAATAAAAATTTTAGTTTTGGCCAATCAGCGCACCCGCTGCCATGGAAAATGGAAATTTCAGAAAAAAAAAAGAAGGTTTTTCTTTATTTTTATTACGCCCACCACTGCCTTGAAATCTCCAAAGATAAGATATGTATATTTCTTTCTAATTATATAAATTTTAAGCATTTAACCATCCCATTTTACATTCACCAATAAAATTTTATTTTTATTTTCTTCTTGATCTGCATATTTTTTGGCAAAAATATTTGCTAAATAAGAAAACAAAATTGTATTTTTATTTTTATTCCACCCTCCTCTGATAATCTTTAAAAAAGTATGTAGGGAAACAAGGAATAAAAAGCCTAGGCTTACCATTAAAAGCAGCTCAATTGAAGAGAAATAATATTTATAAGTATTTTCTAATATCCTGAACAAACTAAATAATTAAACACTTTTCCTTTTGCTAAGTATTTCTTAAAGTATGCAAATTTATAACATGTTTTTGAGTTGTTTTTCTAATTGTAAATTTGTAGAGTACTGTAGTTATAATCGTTAATTAAAATGTATTTCTATTATATAGAACAAAATTGATGTAATATTAACTTAAAGTTGTAATTATTGCTTGTATATATGAGTATGTAATAATAAATAAAATATTAATAGATTACAATAGCTTTTAATAATTTATGTTTTTGTGCAGTAAATCGTTTGAACACAAATGAATTTAAGAACAAATAAGCGTTTAGGCTCAATAACAAAAATTATTAGTTTATCATCCTCGCGCATGTCTTCTATGGTATTGACAAAATATAATTTTGAAAAAAACAATTTTTTTTAGAAAAACTTATTGTTTTTTAAATTTTTTTAGTAAAATATTTGTAGATATTTCTTTGTATTATCACAATCATGTTTTACTTTGTATATCAGTGCATGAGCAAACAACCCAAAGGTGATATTTGGCATTAGAAAAATATAAAATAAAAAGCCTTTTTATCATCACTTTTTCAGCCTAGATAGAGTGATAAACTATGTTTTTTTTTTAATGGGCCTTATTCGGGCTCATGGGTAACACCACAAATCCTAACCGCTTCACTACACAATAAGTAATTCCCGTGTGGTCTAGTGGTTAGGATTCGTGGTTTTCACCCACGCGGCCCGGGTTCAATTCCCGGCACGGGAAAGTCATTTTTATAAATTTTTTGTCACTAGTAAATGAAGCACTAACACTGGTACTGTAGGTAAAATATGGTAAACTAAGTACCGCGTAGCGTGATTTTGTTTTTATTTACCGTTTCGAATCGGCATACGTGTATTTAATGGCTTCTGACGATATATTTTGATTTATTTTTCCATTTTCATTGTATTTTTATTTTGTTTTTGTCATCATTATCATCATTAGTCATTGACATTGGATTGCTGTCGCCGGCAACGTCATCATCGCAATGATCATCATTATTATCATCGTCGTGTTTTGAAAATAATAATGATAATGATAATAATAATAATAATAATAATAATAAGATCCATTTATAAAGCGCATAATACTATTAGCCTTACTGTATGTTATCACGGTATGGCACAACAGAATTCTCTTAAAGGAGTCACTAAATATCAAGTACACGAATAAAATCTTGGAAGAGCTGCTAATGTTTGAAATCAGAAAAACCATAGAGCAAAAAAATAAATTATTAATTGAATTATTTTCTTTCTCTGGAGAAGAACTAAATGACAGTGTGAAGGTCATGATTGGAAACTACACCGATCCCTCATTACATTTTGTTGTCGATGTTATATTTTGTGTATTACATGTACAGTATAATCAAATCTTCACTACTTGGAATTAATTATCTTGTCTTATAAATATGCTATTTCGATTTTGTTTGCGTCAGGAAACTATCACAGGAGTGATGTTTTGCCCTACCTGACTTGTTATCGTACCGAATACTCAGTACGTTCGCAAGTTTAATTGGATGGGTCGAACACAAAATGCTTAACTACCGTGGAAAAAAGTTCTAAACGAACGATGACCAGAGACACCCAGAGGCAAAATCCCACCAAGGGATGGCCACCAAGGGATATATAATACAATGAAAGACCTCTCCAATTAAGGACCACCCCAATTAAAGACCATTATTCTGCAGTCCAAAATAAAAAAAAAAAATTATCTTTATTATTCTAATGAGAGACCAAAAGTGGTCTTTAATTGGAGGGAGACCTGTATATAGAAATATACAGTTAAATACTTATTAAGCGTATATTGACTGGATCTAAAGTTGTATATCATCAGCAAAGAATTTTTCAATTGTAACTAGTAATTTGATAAGACAGATCATGTAACGCCGGATAGGCATAGGCCTACATTACACTTCCGAGGAAACCCTCCGATACATCAAAGAACAAGATATTGATTAGTAAGATTTCATCGATTGTTTTAAATTTCTGCTGAGAAACTGGTATATAAGTGTTATATCAATCATTATCATACCTTCATTATCATTCGACTGATCAATATCATTTAATTGCAGCAGTATGTATTGGTAGTAAAACGTAAAAGTAGTACGGTATATATTTTTATTAGTACGGTACCATACTATGAATATGATTTTATAATTTTATTTACATTGTCAATCTGATTTTTTTACCATATTGTATATGTGTTACATAATACGAATATACATTATATATATGCAGTGCATTCATAAAAAGTAACCACTGTGTGTGGGGGAGGCTCTGTGAAAGCTGCGGTTGCTAATCAAAGGCGTTGGGGGCGCTACTGCCGTATTTATTTTTGATTGATTTTGCGGAGTGTTTTTTTTTGTTTTTTTTTCAGAGGCGCGCTGTCCTCAAATTTATGAATACTCTGAATACATTTACGGTATCATTTTCAAGTTACAGTATAAACAAGTGAGTTTATAAAGATAGATTGCATCAAATCCTTTGGGCTTGGCTAGGGCCAGGTGAAGGCCCAACTTGATGCACCTTTTTCTAGCCTAGGCTAGGCCCGGATACCTAGCTAGCTAGGCGGCTTAGACTAGCTAGCTAGTCTGGGTGTCGGTCAATCCGTACCCAAACAAACCCGTACCCATACCAACCCGTACCCACTTTGGTCAACCCGTACCCAGCTAGTCTAGCCTAGGTTCGGGTAGGCCAAGGCCTAGAAGAGGACCAGCTAGGCCTAGCCTAGTGACTAATCGTAGTAAAACTAAAGCTCTGTCCACACTATCAAATTTTCTTTGACAAAAGACTGTTGTATGCGCATATATTTAGTCATGATGTGCTTATATTTATTATGGTCATGTCATCATAATTATTTATTTAGGCTTTCTACAGTTCCGCTAGCCTAGACAGACCTAAGTCCTAGACTAGTGTAGTGACGGCCGCCGTCTGTTCGAGAGACCGATCAACGGTAACGACCCCTAACCCCGGCATCTGTGTATTTGCATATCCTGCCCTCAGGTGTGCAGAGGAGGGATCGCCGAGATCTTGGGGAATTGTCGTCACTCGTACACTGGACTTAATGCAAGACGCATCAGCTAACGCTAGAGAATTGGTTTATGTGTCCGGGTCTACACAGGAGTACTTCCGTACTACACAGGAGTACTGCATATTGGAGTGCTGCTGTGACTGACTCATTATTGAAGTATTGTCGCCCTAGGAATACATCCTATTGGATAAAGGTAAGCTCCACTCGGTACCTTTTATATCACAGTATCTATATACATAGGCGATAATTACTACACTAGCTAGCTAGCTAGGCTTAGCTAGCCAGGCAGACAGTGTTTTTTAAACACTGTTTTTGTAAAATGAAATTTTACAGTCTGGACAGAGCTTAAGGAGTAAGCCTAGGCCTACTCAATGATGTGGTATGGTATAATTTTGAGCCTATGGTATGGAGGAGGAATGGTTATCAGCCCACTGACAGGAGGGGAAGGTATATAAAACAAACAAGTCATCATCATACTTTTAAGGAGGAGTGAAGTTGAATATGCTCACAAGGCTTGGTGGTTAAGATGCTTGCCTTCCAATCCCAGGGTCCTGGGTTCAATTCCTGTCTGTGTTCCAGGATTTTTTCTCACTACCAAAACAGCTCTACTCCCTGACCTACTTTAGTCCTCATATTAATGAGACCTACTTTTTTCTTGTAAAGCGGTGTGGGTGTGTGTGTGTGTGTGTCTGTATGTTTATCTTGTCGACAAATAGGACAGTGATATATTCGCTGTTGTATTGACAACAATCCTTGGAACATATGCATGCCTTCAGAAATAAAAATAAATAATGTAAATAAACTAACTGAGCTAACTTGGAAAAATCCCTATACCCCTTTGAGAGATAAAGTATTATTTACAAATGCAATTTTTGGAATTTTTTGTTACTGTAGATGGCCAAACTTCAAACTTTGTTTTCCCTTGAACTGGATATTGACTTTGTTCATGTGCAGCCGTCTGGTGTGATCTGCAGGATACCAGCTGTAGCATTTCGACTGATGGACTTTCCAACATTACTGATACACCATGTGAGTCCTGCCAACATTGAAAGAATAAAAGACAGCATCTTTACATCACATGGAGTTTCGCCTCCTACTCAGTTAAAAGAGCTGAAGGATCACAGAGGGAACTTTGTTTTCAAGAAAGGAAAGTCTTGCTTGTTCAAATCAGACATTGATAATTTACTAGGGCATCTGAAAAATACTCCGCTGTATGTAATGATTCTTGATATGTGGCCTTCTGTGCCAAAGCTTGTTGGAAACTGTTCCGTGTCACTGCAGAGTACGATAGAGGACATTGTTGATGATGTGGAGAGGACTGGTATCTCTGTACCCACAGTCCATGGTAGCAAATACAACTATAAGATTTACAACTTGATGGGAAGTGAAATAGGATATGTTTCACTTGGATTTAAGCTATTAAGTCTTGGCGCTGGGTTAATATCCCATATTCCAGAATCATCTATTAGCAAACCACTTTCTTCTAGAAATATTAAGGACATTGATGCTATAGACAATTCAGCTTATAAAAGTTTGTCACAAGCTAAGTATTCTGGAGATGTTGTCCTTGAGGACTTGAAAGAATTTCCTGATGCTGAACTTCCAAAAGAAATTTTCTCATTAAAGAAAGAAAATAACCAAGTACCTAAGGATGTAAGGTCCTCATCGACTCAAACTGGACATAAACTGGTGAAATCTAAACAAAAAATACCTGATAAGTGTGTGTTGGCTCAGGTGTCAGCAGACCAAGATATTAAGGAGGAGGATGATGAATTGGGACTTTTTGTTTCAAATACAGTATGTCCACCACCTCTCTTTTTCAATTCCAAGTGTGATGATCGAAGTAACCAATCAGACCACTTCTTAAGTAAAAAAGTGTTTGAGAGATTGATACCTGAACCAGAAGACAGTGAAGACTCTTTCTCTGACACTTGTGTAGAAACACGGTATGTGTTTCCTCCAGATAGTCAGCACTCCGTCGGAAAGGTTTGCAAAAAACCACATCATAAGCTATCAGATTCAGTTGATGGCAAAACTTCAAATACAGAACATCGGAGTGTTGCTGTTCAGAGCTCACCAGATGTCAGGACAATTACATCTGGTCTCATTAATCAGAATCTGCCAATATTAGCTGCTCTCTTGAGAGAGCTTTCAGTTTTACAGTCTAATCGTACAGCAAATCTTCAACCACATCAACAAAAAATAAATACACCTCAAGCAGCTGTAACACATAGAGAGAATAATTTGGTTGAAACTGAAGACAAACCAGATAACCCAAGAGCAATAACTACACTGAAACATGTTGATGAATTAAAGAAAAAGTTACCAAACTACCAAAGTGCCAAATCAAGTAAGAAAAAAATGAAATTAAAGTTTGGCATGACACACTCTCAGAAGCTAAGGCTTCAAAGAAACAATCCAGACCATTTGAAGGTGTTGGAAAGGGAGGAGTCCAAGCAAAAGAGGGACAAACAGGGGATGAATTTGACTTACAAGACACCAAGAAAAGCAGCAGATATTCTGACTGAAATACAGAGGCATCCAAGTACTCTACGGGAACCATTAGTGTTGGATGTGAGTAAAGGAAAGCGGCAGTTCGATACTTCATCTCCAGGTAAGATAAAACATGATATAATTTATGGAAATACTGTACTATAAAATACATGTACGGTACAGTTAAACTTGTGTAAGTCGACTTTGCCTAACTTGAATAATTTTCAAGTCAATCTTATTTTACATGCCAAATTGTTGTGTTTTCCATGCCAAATTGTTGTGTTTTCCATTAATTAATGATTTATAGTCAAATTTTATCTAAGTCAAAATATTTTTCAATCCCATTTTGGATTCGACTTAGGCAAGTTCAACTTTTTACACCTAAAACTAAAAACTTCCAAAGTTACCAGTGGTTTAACAGAGACAAAATTTTTAAGAGGTTTATCAAAACATAATTGTAAAAATATGTACTTCATAAATTTACCCCATTTTATCTCTCTTACAAAGAAGCAACATACATTAATTATTGAATTCTCTGATTATAAATTGTAGAAACAGAAGGCAACACAGAAAATAATGAATTCAAAGACCCTTCCAGGCAGAGGCTTACACATACATCAGCCAGACAGAGGCCCATACCTGCACCAAGACAATCCAAGGAGACACCCCCTAGTAGAACTGAGGAAATGGAAGCAGTTCAAGAGAGAGAAGAAATTCAGGGTTATATGAGTGTTGGTAATAAACATAAAAACATTGATCAGAAATTGTCTCAAAATGAAGAGGAAGGTACTCACCATAATTCCAAAGGTATGTTACCCACATCTGATGTGGGATGACAGTATAAACAATCTGAAAGTTATTTCTTAACCTTTCAAACATTTGCTCATATATGAAAAAAGGTTTAACATATTATTTTGTAAGTGCATAAAAGCTTTTTGTATTATGCACTACAGTACTATAAGTGTAACTTTATTAATATTATTTCTTTGCTCCAATTTATGTTATTGTAAATGTTTTCGCATTACACTCCTGTAACTTATACAATACCACAGTAAGACTTTAAGATTTAAACTTAAAATTCTTCTCCTGTTGTCATCAAACAACTATATCTGCTTAAGTTTAAGATTTAAACTTAAATATCTTCTCCTGTTGTCATCAAAAAACTATATCTATAATGTGGAGCTAGGGTCTCTGACATATATTATCCCCAGGGCTAGGGGAACATGGTAAGAATACAAGGACTCGCCTCTCTTATTGAAATCATGAAGTAAGTGATCAGCTTTGAAAATAACACATACAAGCCCAGTAATATATTTTAAAAATTGATTTCTCTACTGTAATTGATTTATATTTATTTGTTTACAGATGGAAGTGAGACAAGTAGTCGACATATAGAGGTACACATACCAAGCGTTTCAAATTACACCAATGAGAGTGACTCGGATAGAACCGGTAACTTTTCCGACCAATCAGAAGAAGCTGATATCTCTGTCAGTCATGTTTCACCAAAGAAAGCCATAGACTTTCCAGGATTTCCTAATGTATCTGAGTCTAAAAACTACCATGATGGAGAAATGAGAGACAAAGAGCTTGTAAAGAAAAAAGGACAAATTGAGCATAAAGGCAATGTGAAAATGGTCAATAAGAAATCCACCAGTCTGGAAGAATTTGATAACAAACGAAGGAAAGGAGTTGAGGTCTTAACAGATCAAGACCCAGTAATACAATCAAGTGAATTTGAGCATACAGCTGATAATGAAATACTTGAGGGAGCACAATTTGAAGACTCTTATACACCTGATTTTGACATTGAAGACACTGATGATATAAACGATATAGTGGGGGCCAGCAATGTTGGTGTATTGGAATTTGCAGATTATGAAGGCAGTTATTCATATGACTTCGACACTGATGATCAATCAAGAGGAAAGGATTTCAGACCATCTACAATGGATAGTGATCAGGATGAGGATAGTCTTGATGAATCTCTTAGTTCCACAACATCATCAGGAATATCTGTTCCAAGTCAAAGAACTATTCCAATGCCACACAGCAGTAAACTACAGAGAGGAAGTTTAGCCATACCCAAGCCAACACTCTCTTCTAAATCTCCACTACCAAACAAAAAGACATCAGGGCATACCGGTAGTGGCAATCTTTTCTCAAAGGCAACCAGGACTGGAGATTCAGCTGGTGGACAGAATTTTGATATGTCTGTGGACACAGTGGCAACAAAATCAAGTGTACGCTCTGAATTTCTGACTGGTGACTCAGACATTTTGCAATCAATGTCAGGGACAGCTAGAACCCGTTCCAGTGATGACCTTGAACCTTCATACTCTGATTTACTCACAGATGGCAGCAGGGAGTTCTAGATGATTATGTCTTGAAAGGAATCATTCAGCTATGAAATCTATCAATGCTGGACTTTCTATTTCATTGTTCTTGGCAGCTTGACCACAATGTTAGGGTCTGTCCACATATATGGGCACATCAAATAAATCTGTCCACATAAAATTTAATAATGGGCTGTTATTACAGAGTGAAAATGAATCAGTTAATGAAGTAAACTAAAATTATAATATTATTACCGTAGGTAAATTTCTTTGATACTAAACCAAAACTTGTTTATCAAATTGAATTTTTGTAATTCCTTCCTATTATTTCCTGTGTCGGATCCTGTATGTGTCACAGAAAATATTTTATTCAAACTCAAGAAAGCATTGAGCAACTTTTATATTAATCAGTTCATGCGGTGATAAGATTTGCTTGTGTGGTCAGTGGCATATTCTTAGCTTGCATAGAAGAAATCGTGGTTCTCCAGGTTTCCCCACCCCATTGGAAATTTGCTGGGAAAAAAAAATGGCTGAAGTCAGTTACAAGAAGTACCTCATGTCACATTATTTTTCCAGCTAAATCCCATCATGTAATCATCGAGCCCCCTCCCCACCACCACCTCAGTACTCCAAGCTTTGTCAGTGCCCGTGGGACAGACTGAAACATTGATGAAATTGTGTAATTTAATGCAGGGGTGGCACCAGTGTTCAGTGGCGTAACGCCGGATTTGGAGGTCATGCGGCTTCATGATACTGGGGTCCCCGAACATTGGCCCCGCAAGGGTAACCAGAGCCATTTACAGGATCTTAGAAGGCCTAATATTCGATTTCATAGACATTGTGTATCAACCAATACAATACAAAATACAAAAATTTATTATTGAACAATTTGACATATGAAGTTTTAAAACTACTTATAAAGACAATTGACGAAATAAAACACAGCGAGACGGAATTCGGCGCACAAGTTCTTTTATTTTGTCAATTCACTGTGTTATGACTCTCGTATGGTGATATAACTTGTAATTTTAAGCATTGTGTTATGTAAAATTTGTAAGCGTTTCAGACCTATAATTATTCCTTACTTGTACCTTGTACCGTACGAGCTCATAACAGACAAAAGGCTAATCTGGTTTGCCGAATAATTTATGTTAATACTGTGTATACAAAATTGTTAGGCCTGCAGACAAAGAAGTCTAGGAGAAATATTGAACGATTTCAGTTATTCTGCATGGCCCAACAGATACAATAATATCTTTTGTAATAGTGTAGAGTTAATGTCGAAAATAGAAATTTGAAGTATTAATAATAATTTTTTTAGTTGCGTTTACCTGGACGATTCAACAGTGATCTACCATGAGTCTCAAGTCAGGCATCAGGACCCTGCAATTGCTATGTCAAAGTTAGCAGAGTTATTACAGTATTAAGAATACCAACCTTCGGATCTTTTTGATACTTCTGAATGGGGTAAACCCTTGCATCATAACGCGTTTTCTTTCTTTTTTTTTTTTGCTCGTCGAAACACCTTTAAAAATAGAAAAGGGGAAATCACCCGATTTTGGCGCTATTTACTCTATTGCTTAGGCCTATATCATCTTGCTCATTTTGAACCATCCCCGTGCACATTGCTCGGGGGTTGCATTTTTGTCTTTACGTTATTGAAAATGTATTCATGTAACTTTTAATATGTTTTTTGATTATACTTTTTATTATTATATTTTCCTCACGAGCCAAATTTAATTGCCCTGCGGGACAAATTCAGCCCGCGGGCCGCCAATTAAGAACCAGGGGTATACTGTACCTGTCTCTTATACACATCTAGATGTTTGCCACTACTGGTACTGTCTCTTATACACATCTAGATGTGTATAAGAGACAGCCATAATATTGTATATCCAGTGTTGGATTAAAGAGGTGGTTCCTGAAATTGTCAATTTTTGTTTTAAAATATAGAAAAAAAAAAACAAAAGAAGACTGAAAGTCCCATTTCCCGCCATCTTGAGTTGGCATAATCATAAATTTTCTTTTCCTCAGCCCCAACCATGGTGAGAGGCTGAGGTGACAGGCCCTCTCTATGAATTCCCTCCTTCTGGGCCCCATCTATTTCAAATTCCTGGATCTACCACCTGTCTCTTATACACATCTCTCTGTATGCCTTGAAAAGATGGCTATTGTCGAAACACAGTAATCACAGAGACAGAGTTCTGTAGGCTTAGTTTAATTATTTGCAGGACAATCGAAATGTACTTTTATGAGCACTGTTCTGGTTCACTAAGTGCTTAATATCATGTATTAAGAGTACAAATGTTATCGACGATAAACGTATTGCAAAATAACCTAAATAATCGAAATTTAGTTGCGTTTACCTGGACGATTCAACAGTGATCCACCATGAGTCTCAAGTCAGGCATCAGGACACTGCAATTGCTATGTCAAAGTTAGCAGAGCTATTACGGTATTAAGAATACCAACCTTCGGATCTTTTTGATAGTTCTGAGTGGGGTAAACCCTGCGTTTTCTTTCTTTCTTTTTTTTTTTGCTCGTCGAAACACCTTTAAAAATAGAAAAGGGGAAATCACCCGATTTTGGCGCTATTTACTCTATTTATTGCCTAGGCCTATATCATCTTGCTCATTTTGAACCATCCCCGTGCACATTGCTCGGGGGTTGCATTTTTGTCTTATTGTCGTTATTGAAAATGTATTCATGTAACTTTTAATATGTTTTTTAAATATACTTTTTATTATTTTATTTTCCTCACGAGCCAAATTTAATTGCCCTGCGGGCCAAATTTGGCCTGCGGGCCTCCAATTAAGAACCAGGGGTTTACTGTACTGTATTCCTCAAAATTAAAAAGAAAAATGAATTAGTGTACAATATTGCTGATGAAGGTGAGAGTGAGTAAGCTCAGAATCAACAATATCGTATATGCACAGAGTCCTATAAACCGTGATTTTTGTGTCATTTCTAGGTCAATAACAAATTACAAGGTGGTGTAATGAAATACATTCACAATGATCTGCAGGCCTGTATCCAGGGTGGGGGGGTTTATGGTTCAGGAGAACGCCCTTTTCTAGCAAACCCCCTCTTTTTTGGGAAACCCACCTCCAAATTTCCCAAACAAGTCCTCCAACTAATGCACTGCACCCACCTAGACAGACGTTTTCAAACATATCTGCTTTTATAGCATTATTTAGACCCATAAAGCACAAAATCCTGATTTTGGGGTTTCGCCGACCTCACCGGGGCTTCAACCGTGGACCTCACGCCCAGAACCCCTTTGGAAGAACCTGGCTACGGGCCTGATTTGACATCACACCATGCGTAATTAATGTTAGGGATACAAGTTATATTACCATTCGATCTCAGTGGAATAACGTCTCTACTCCATGACGCATTGTTCAATACTATTGTGTTTATTTGTGTTTTTTGTGGGGATATTGGCCCAAGTTGGCCTTTGCAGCAATAAACGAAATGGAAAATTACATTGAAATTGCAATTGACGAAAGACAGTGAAAAATAACCGTTAGAGAATCGAATTCCGTCTCGCTGTGTTTTGTTCTATCCACTACCGGTATGTCTTGTTACGTCAATTGCTTTTGTACTTAATTTTAGACTATACATGTATTCCTTTTATTGTATGTGATACACAATTTCTATGTGGCGGGGGCACTGCTCTCCCAGTGGCGTAACGATGGAGCGGGGCTGGACTTTCTGAGACTTGCGGCACTTTTGGGTCCCGGTCTCCAATTTCATTGTAGGATTTTTTTGTGATTTTAGGTTAATCATATTTGTCATTGTGTTCTACATTTTGTAACGACGAAATAAATGATATGATATCAGTGGTAGATCCAGGAATTTGAAATAGATGGGGCCCAGAAGGAGGGAATTCACAGAGAGGGCCTGTCACCTCAGCCTCTCACCATGGTTGGGGCTGAGGAAAATAAAATTTATGATATGCCAACTCAAGATGGCGGGAAATGGGACTTTCAGTCTTCTTTTGTTTTTTTTTTCTATATTTAAAAACAAAAATTGACAATTTCAGGACCCACCTCTTTAATCCAACACTGGATATACAATATTATGGTATTACAGTATGTCCTAGTCAGTATCAGAGACGCATTACAGTATAATGATATGTCAATCAACAAAGCCCTTTTGGGTCAGGGTGCTAGTTCGAGGAACCTTTGGAAAGGGGCCGCCGCACGAGAGCGCATAGGCGTTACGCCACATCATGTTTATGTGGGGCTCGGGCCAGGTCCCACTGTCAGTGAGAGCTGGGCTCCCCGCGTCTGGAAGAAGAATCACAACTCGTTGGGGAGAAAATATTCCGGTACTGTATATGCATTTTCTACATATAAATAGACTCTAAAATCAATTAAATAAGCCTTTGAAGCCCCAAAATTGTCATAATTTTGGGGGCTTCAAATGGGTTGGGGGTATGGCAAGCCACTTGGATCATTTTCGAAAGATTTTGGGCGATGCCAGACCACGCCCACTTTGCTCTCGTCGTTAACATCAGGGACCTCTGACCCCCTGTAGGACAAATCCTGGCGCCACCCCTGATTTAATGCAAAAATCACCCTAGATTTTATTCTGAATTTTGCAGAAATTTTGAAAATATGTATAAAATATTATTTACATTATGTGTTAAGTATGACTAAGAAAAGTAGCTGTTTGTGGTTGGTATAGGCCTAAGTGACATTCAATCCTTAGAATAATAAAGCGAGCACCCAAGTGTTACTTGGTTGTTGTATGAGCACAATTAAATTGTAATTTTTTTACAAACCTGACTTAATGGGCACTGAACTATTTCCAAAGTAGTAATACATGTTTACATGATACGGAGAGCAAAAACACAAAGAACATGAATAGGCCTACAGTATCGTAGTCCTTGAATCAAGGCAGTAGCCAATTATTATCTGCCAAGTGTTTATTTGTGGAGGCGATGGCTGTTGTTAAGTACAATTACATTGTAATTTTTCTACAATTCTGAACGGGCGCTTAATTTTTTCCAGTGTGCAGTAGTCTATACTGTATATTTATTATAATAAAGAGAACAAACACAAAGAAACATGAGTAATTATTGAATTAATACAGTAACCATAATCTTGAAACATAGCTTTGTCTGCTGTGTCACTAATAGAGCATGTATACTAAGAAACAGCGACCTCCACAAATCAGGGTATACGCATCTTTAGTAAGCCATGAACACTATTTTTAACTTGAATTAAGTCAGTTTTTGGGGTTTTCATTCCTTATTTTTGTTCTGCAATTGCGAATAGCAACGACGCTCACAAACTTAATACAATACTGTACACAGAATAATCGTAATGGCGTATTTTTAGGGGAAACATTTTATTCCCATATTGGCAAAGACTGACTTAATTATAATTTTTTTTTAAATCTTTTGTGGAGTCGTTCTTCTTTTATTTACAATTTATATCTGGCATAAACAGCTACTGCTATATCAGTTTCTCCTAAGGGGTAAAATTATTATACTTTGCAGAAAACAGAATTAATTATAATTCTTATTATGATTTACATTCATACTCGTCATCATCATAAATCCTATTCTTATTATCATCAAAACATTACAACGATGAACATGAATGAAAACCAGTCATCCTGTCTTGTCTTCTCTTGTTCAACCAAGTCGCCTGATTGCTACCTACCTACCGTATACTCCGCGTATAAGACGAGGCTTACAGTACGGTAGCTAATTAGGATCGGAAAACGGGCGACATAAAATTTTGGATTTTAAAAATCATGTTCGCCCTTTGTGCGAACCGTCCGTAACACACGAATTTACTACTGCAATGAAGCTACTAAAATGTTATTAAGCTTATGAATAAATGCAATATTAAATACGGGGAAATAAGATTTTGATTAACATTTAAAATCTCATAAAATGGTATTATTTAAAAGATTAGCCCTGCATTTGGCTCCGTTTATAAAGCTGATGCAGTATCAAGACCATAAAAACAGCAACAAGTATGAAAGGCGGGGTTGGGTGGTCTCTACGCCCGACATAAAAAAAATCGTCCAAAAATCTTCTCAAACTCGGGGGTCGTCTTACTGTGTATATACGCCGGTCGCCTTATACGCGAGTAGGGCCTATATACGGTATAAACCACTAAAGAGAATCATATCTCAGTGTTCATTTATTGCCAGAAGAAAGCTACCACGACCACGAGGCCCCCGGGCCCTCGACGACGAGGTCTAGGGACTCCCTACTCTGGATCGACCTCAGAGGAGTCTGGAAGCGTAACCCAAAATCCGTGGCCTTTACATGTCTAACGATTATTTGTCTAAACT